AGTACATTTGCTCTACCAGAAGTCCCTCTATCCAGGCTGTAGATGTGCTGTACATGTTCCTATTGCCTTCTACAGAAGATGCTGCCAAGTGAGTGACAGCAGCCACTTGGAATCCCCAACATGGTGATGCAGAAAGGGATGTTTTTTAGATACTGCAACTCCTTGCATCAGTTGTTATCTTGTCACAGGACAGGAATACAACTGACAGTACCAGGATACATAGACACAATCTCTTACTACTGTTTAAACACAGAGGACAATACCATATCCTGTACTGGCACTAGGACTATTTGCTATGCAAAATTACTTGTCAGGTGTTTGGAATATTTTCTGGTCATTTTTTGGACAACAAAAGCACCATTTCTTCAGCTTTTTTTTTTTTTTTTTACTTTTTTGTCTTTTTAAAAAGCAACGTAGATCATGTTTTTCACCTGTATTTATTCCTCTGCTATTAGAAGAGCAGACGAGCCTACGACAGCAACTTCGTCCTATGTACAATTGTGTGGTTTCAGGAGGAAGTAATTCTTCATTTTAATTTATCCTTCCTCCCTAACAAAGTGTTTTTTAAATATCTTTCCACCTGTTATCAGTACCTGACCATAACAACCGAACGCTTTGTGATCAAGAGGAATTTATTAAAGCACCCTGACGTAGAACCAACTTTTTATATTCTTCATGTGACAAGAAGTGAAGATGCCTTAGTCTATGGAAACAAAAAATGATTATACATTATACAGACTAGAAGTACATTTTAATACTCTTTTTATCAAATTGGATTCAGAAAGACAAGAGAGCAAACTAATATAAGGGCAATGCCAATAATGTGTCTCCTAGAATATGGATGTCAATGCTTGTTAAAACATAAGTGAAAAATCTTAACCAGGGAGTATTATGCATACAGAATGAAAAGTAATTTAACTTAATACCTTAAGTTCAAGTTTCAGGAATGAGAACTCTGCATATTCTCTTATTTATGCCTAATGATGTTGAACAGCATTCGATACTTTCTGAGATCACTGAAGTGTTAACTCTCACATCTTGCCAAATGCAAATGAACTTTTGCCTCTCTATTTCCCCTGTGGTCCCAATTGGATGAAACAGCTGCATAGCGATGCACGGCCAGAGGCTTGCTGCATCCAGAGGTGCAAAATCACTTTGGCAATTTCAACTTTCATGGGAGGGTCTCACAAAGATGGGGGAAGGAGGGTCTTGATGCAGCAACTCTAGGACCAAAGCCGGTGTAGCAGTGACAAGGCTCGCATCTGCTGGAGCCCTTGAGGTGCCAGGTTTGTTCTAAACAAACCCACTCTAAAAATCACGGAAACAGAGAATCACTTGGGTTGGAAAAGACCTTCAAAATCACCAGGTCCTACCATCAACCTGACCTGAGTCCTGTCACCGAGCCACGTCCACACTTTCCTTAAACACCTTCAGGGAGGGGGGCTCCACCACTGCCCTGGGCAGCCTGTTCCAAAGCTTGACCACTCTCTCCGTGAAGAAATTCTCCTCAATATCCTCATTGAACCTCCTCTAGGACAGCTTGAGGCCCTTCTCCAGGTCCTATCACTTGTCACCAGGGAAAAGAGATCAACACCCTCCTTGGTGCAAACTCCTTTCAGTAGCTGTAGAATATAATGTAGTCTCCCCCTCAGGCTCCTCTCCTCCAGACTAAACCATCCCAGTTCCCCAGCCTCTCCTCCTAACACTTGTTTTCTAGTCCCTTCACCAGCTTCATTGCTCTTCTCTGCACACGCTCAAGCAACTCAATAACCTTCTTGCAGTGGGGGACCCAAAACGGAACACAATATTCGAGCTGCAGCCCTATCAGTACTGCATACAAGGGGACAATCCCTTCCCTGCTCCTGCTGGCTGCATCACTTCTCATACAAGCCAGGATGCCCTTGGCCTTCCTGGCCACCTGAGTGCATTGTTGGCTCAAGTTCAGATATGAACACCACTTCACAACATAATCCTTCTCCCTTTTCCTCATTTTGTAACCACAGCCTCCAGGTTACAACAGCCAGCACGCACAGGGACAATCTCTGGCTCTACTTTGTCCTTAGGCTCTTCATTTTCAGGTGAAGAAACACCCTAGACCAGCTCGGGGGCAGGAGTTAGGGATGGCACCACACAGCCAGACTGCAACTTCTGCCTCTGGACATCTGTCTCCTCTGTGTTATCTTTGGGCTGGTCTCCTAAGGAGGCAAACAGGTTAAAGCAATTCTGGTTTGAATTAGTCACGCAGGGAAGACAAACACGAGGCATCAAAATGCCATTCGAAAGCTGAGTTCCCACACAAGATAAAAGGGAAGCAGAATGGCTGTGAAACACAGTTTGTACAAGCGTAACTAACAAAGTTTTCATATTACAAATATGTGCCAGGAACATCATTTTTAAGGGTAGCTTCTAGCCTGTGTATTTACTTACAGCTGTGCAAACTGCCTGTCAATGGAAGAGCACATTCCAATGGAAATGAAGGAGAAACCCATCCAACACCTCCAGTACAGACTTACAAATAACCTCTCTAAACAGCAAAATCCATGTCTCAGACACCAGCAACATGTCTCAGCCTCTTCACAAGGAGCCAGACGCTTTCCTCACCCAGTACAGTCCTTAAGAGGAGAATGTAGCTTGAAGGAGGTAAGCATCAATGACCCATTAGCAGTTTATCTAGCTGAATATAAGCATAAAAATACTTGGGGGTCAGAGAGGAGAATGGAGGAAACCTGAGATTCACAGCAGTGTCTGAAAAATCACACTCTGGTGATGAGGGACTCTTTGTTAGGAGAACACCAGACCCGTCAAGCAAGTGTGGAGGTACAGATCTGGGACTGAAAGAGGACTGGTAGGAGAAATATTCACCACGGTGACAAGGAAATTTGTCTCCACATGGAAAACAGATCTTCCCTGGAATCAATCACATGTCATTTATGCCTAATTGGAGTTGATGTTTCTAATCTTCCTGCACTAGGTTACTGCTGCTTTTCCTTCATTGGATTATTACGTATTTTGTTTCAGTTGTACGACTTTTACCATTATCCAAACTTAAAATAACTTCTTTTTTTTCTTTCTTTTTTGCTGTTGTTGCATGCTTAGCAAATTCTTTAAGATCTCCTTTGCTGAACCACAGAGCTCCAAGCTGATGAGACAGACTAGGATGTGAAAAGAATGAGGACAAAAGAAACCCCATCGTGTTCCAAGCCTTGTCATCAGAGCCAAGCTGACCTACAGCTAACCACTGCTATCCATATTTACAATGGAAAAGCCTTTATAAAGAAGGTGACAAGATCTCAAACCCATTAGCTGTTTTTTCCATTGCCTTCTCAGGCATGGCTAAGCTGAAATTTGTGCCATTAGAAGGGTTTTTATTTGGAGGTCGGGGAGGGGAGAAGCCTTTCATCATTTTTAGCAATGCTAATCCCCAAACCTCCTCCTGGCTCCTTCATTATCCACTCCTAAAATAGTTACCTTTCCATCCCTCAAGGTGAGTATATAGTCTATGCACTCCCAAATGCCAAAATAGTCAGGTGCCAATTTTTAAGTACCAAAAATATGCTCCTGCCAACAGTTGTAGTGGTTTGCTGCAGGGGGAAGAGTGGTATACTGAAGGGAGAAAAGTCAAAGAATAATGCTTTGGAGGAGACAGCAAAAGGCTGCAGTAGGTTGGAGCAGCCATAAAGCCAGTCCAAGCACAGAGCTTTGGAGAAATGTCTGATTTGGACTCGTCTTTCTCTTCTTTCTCAATCCATCTTCCCCTGCTGTCCTGCTCAGTCATTTCTTTATCACAGCATCACTTGCTGCTTTAGTTTTATATCTTCGCTTTTTATGTTCTCCGTTATTTCAGTTAATGTTTCCTTATTAGCCCATTTCCTTCCACAGAAGTAAGCACAAGTGTAAAATTCTGGAACTAATAGCTGCTGAGTGCCGCTGAATACAAAAGGTTTACATACATTTGACACAGAAGAACAACATTTGTGTGGAGGGAAATCTCTTTTTATAGGGGTGCAGACACAACTGGAAAAATAAGAGGTGGTGTTGAGAATGCAGGCTGCTCCTCAGATATAACACATCACCAAAACTTACATGACATTTACTACTGATATACGCTTCGTGTGTTTGCAGTACCTCTTCCCATCTCTGCTTCTGCCCAGAGTTGGCTGTACAAGACCCATTGCAGCAGAGCCCTTTTTGTGCTTGTGGTGGTTCTGCACCTGAATGAACGTTATTAATAAGCAGCAACTGGTGCAGATGAAAAAGCTATTACAGCCCAGCTGGCTATGTGTTGGCTGAGTTCATAGGATCATAAAGTGGCCTGGGTTGAAAAGAACCACAATGATCATGTAGTTTCAACCCCTGCTATGTGCAGGGTCGCCAACCAGCAGACCAGGCTGCCCTGAGCCACATCCAGCCTGGCCTCGAATGCCTCCAGGGATGGGGCATCCACAACCTCCATGGGCAACCTGTTCCAGTGTGTCACCACCCTTTGTGTGAAAAATTTCCTCCTAATATCTACTCTCAATCTCCCCTGTCTCAGTTTAAAACCATTCCCCCTTGTCCTATCACTATCCACCCTCACAAACAGCCATTCCCCCTCCTGTTTAAATGCTCCCTTCAAGCACTGGAAGGCCACAATGAGGTCTCCCCTCAGCCTTCTCTTCTCCAAGCTAAACAAGTCCAGTTCTCTCAACCTTTCCTCTTAGGAAAGGTGCTCCAGCCCTCTGATCATCTTAGTGGCCCTCCTCTGGAGCCATTCCAAGAGCTCCAACATCCCTTCTTGTACTGAGTTGGGACACAAAGCACAAAGTAGTTGTGACACATTTTAGCTGCAAAGAAAAGAAGAAAAGGGCAAGGATGTTTTCTTTTCACTGACTCCTTCTTACACAAATGCTTCCACCAAGGACTCAAAACCACACACATGGCCTTATTCTGTGAGCTGTTCCCATTAACCCAAATAGCAAACATAAGAACATAGAAAAAATGGAGCAAGCAGACGCGACAGAAAAGTTGACTGAGCATCAGCTCTTCTTATTTTAATGAAGAAATATTTCAAGTTAATATCAGTGCATATTTAGAAATAGCATGTGATACTCCCAGTGCCAAATACATCAGCAAATTACAGTTTCAAAACTTTATAAATTAATTGCAAGGAAGAAAAAAAACCAACAACTAAGAGTAACATAGAAAGTAACATTCAAAATAAACATCCTGCTTGTTGCACTGTGTCAATTATATTCCTGACAAGTAAACAGTAAGAGAAGTCCAGTATTTTGTGGTAATTAGTCTCTCCAGAACAGCATTTATTTTTCTACAGATGAGTTAAGCTGTCTGCGCATACTTCTGATGTGTAATTAAATGTTATTCTTAGCTGCTACAAAGAAATTTAATCATGACAGAGTAGAATTTCATTCCACGATTCCAAATCAAACTAACTGGATAACACTGCCTTCAGGTTACACTCACTGGCAATGGTCAGCGGAGCATAGGAAGAGCTACATGTGAGCACATTTGGCTGTTACATAAAATGGCTTTTTTTTTTTTTCTTCTGGTTTCACAGCCTCATAACAATACTGTTTTTCAACATTGTTCCCAGTCATTGTTTTTAACACGGTTCATCAACATATCCTGAATCAATCACCGATATAAATAACTCCGGTGACAAAATCCATTATGGGAGGACACAGAGCTGCAACCTGAAAGCTGTACCGAATGATTTTAAGGTGGAACTGTCATCATTCTATCAAACAAAACAAAACGCCAACAAGAAACAGAATCCACAGTAGAAGCAGTATCTCCAATTAACTGGCAACAGTGGAATCTGAAAAATGGAGTTATAATCTTAAGAGAGAGATTTTAATTCACGGTGGGCTTTAATGCAATACAAATCATACCAAAGCGAAAAAGAGGTGCACGTTTAAAGCTTGCAAGTGTGATACAAAAATATTCTCTAGTTCTTTCATCATTTTCACACAGGGAGTCTGACTCCTTAGTGGAATAAGCTAAAATACATCCTCTTTCCTACCCCGCTGCTGTACATATGGACAATTCCCTTGATACCAAGAAATGGCATTTCCCCAACCAAAATCCCAGCCGTGGCAATCACAGGCTTTCTGGTAGTGAGGGTTTGGTGATTCTGCTTTTAGAAGTACATTTTCAGGCAGGTGAAAGGATGCCCATTTCTTTCACTCCTAGACTGCTGTGCAAGTCGTATTCATCAACCCCGTAACTTCAGTCCCCCTGAAATCTGCATCGCCTGGGATGGCTTGGAAATCTAACGTGATGCTACGACAGTGAGGTGGGTGCCAGCTTATGAGACATCAGGCTAAGTCAGACTAGCAGGAAAAGGCACGTGCTTCGTGTTTCACAGGGACACCTGAAGGTTGCTTGCTACCATAACCCACGCTCCTGAAGCTACCGTGGGTCTGCCAGCTGTGCTACCCAGAGGGCACAGCTCACACCCAGCGCTGGTGAGGTAACAGGGAGCTGCGAGCGCTCACTGCTGCTTATGGCACGTGGACACGGTGGTTCTGTGAACCCAGCTGAAGGCCCGGAGCACTGCGGGCAACGCAGACACAAGGGAGGCTACAGCCCGGCCAGGCCACAAGATAAAGAACCACGTCATTATGCTGCACACATTCCTCTTATGCACAGATACAGGGTGCGCAAAATAAGCTGTTTGCTCAGTAAGGTTTAATGTTTTGCATATGTAAAATAATGGGCTAATACTGCAATAGAATCAAAAATCATGCACTAGATAAACAGAGCTCCTTCCCCATGAACGTTTCTTTCTGCTTTAGGGAGCGTCTCACGATTTGCCAGCTTTCCAGGCCTGTTCTGAGAACACAGCATTTAGTTAAAACTGAAAAACAACATTCCAGAGAAAAAGAGGTTTTGATTTTACTTGCGATACAACTGGGTCAGATGCAACTGAGCTGCTGCAATGCACCGAGGAGTAACAAAAATTCAACATGAATATCAGAAGAATAAATATATAACCTAAATTAATCTCTGTAAATACATTCACAGGTCCACTTAAGACACCCTTACGCATAACTCATACTTCATCTGCAGATAGAGATGGGTGTTAGTTCACAGGGAAAGCCATTTATCATACGACCCAGTTTATCTGCCTTTATTCCAGCAAAAATGAGTAGCAAATTTGAAAAAACTACATTTATTTTCCCCAGACCAACCACACAGAGGCTTAGGTCACAAATTCTATTATTTCCAATGTTCAGTCGATAAGGCTTTATTTACACGTTTTTACTATAAATTTGGGAAAAAGTTTGGTGCAATGTGCAAGAAAAGACAGCACATCCCACTGACTGGAGACTAACATCTGCTTATGGTTTAATGCTAACCCACAGGCAGCCAATTAAAGTCCCATATATCCACGTTTTTACATAAAGTTTCCTTCCAGATTCTGTCAGAAGCATACTAGCAGTCAGGCCACCTAGAAACAGCAAAGATGGCAAAGTTTTCTTGAGGCTTAATTTGGAATGAACGCTTTTTCCAGGGAACTTGTTTCTTCTTTTAGAATCCTTTGCATCATAAAACTCTATTAGTAACCTATAAGCAGAGAGAAGTAGATGGTCACATTTATGCTACTGATGACATGTTGCTTATCTAACAATTTAACAGTAGGTAGCAGCTCATCTGCAGCACGTTCAAACAATTGGTGTGCTTTAAGAGTGCGATGTAAAAGTAACATCAGACACTCAATCTGAAGCCCTGTCGTCAATAAGAGCATATTTTCCTTAGGGAACAATTTCAGTATTGGATATAAAGGTTGAAAAATAACCCTCTTCATTCAGAATTCAGCAAATAAGCCAAGAGTACTGGGCAATATCTTAAGATAAAATATCACACAGTCATTAGAAATTGAAGTGAGAGGTAAAGTATCTTTGTGAAATAAACTAATAAATAACAAGGGCTCACAGGACAAAGTATTTTGGAAGTCAAATACATGAGTAAAAGGTGACACTAGTAGTAGTAGTAATTTTTTTCTGTATCTTTCATAAACATTAATGAACAGATTTGAAAATTCGGGGTTTCTGCAGCTCTAAATGTGCATGACAGATTATTTTGGTACCAGGGAGGATTCCAGTCAACAGGAGTCTACAGATGAAGACGATCACTGTTTGATTTTGCTGGTCTTCACTAGAAGACTGCTTGTGGGACACTGAACAACCTTCTATGCTACGTACCAGTTCCTTGTCTAGGAAATGAAATTACCTACAGATCCTCAACTGCTAAAGTCACTTTAGTAACAGTGCCATGCTTACAGATAAGCGTGTTAATTTTTCAAAAATTTCAGGTCAAACTCAGCCATTTGCTTACTGTGCCATGGAATGCCAGAATAATTTTAAAGCAAGCACACCTGAAGTACCTGGCAAAATTCTGACTCACATACCATATTCAGTGATTTAGAAGGTAAAAAGATTCAGCTCCTTCAGGTTGGACTTCAAACATGGTAAATCGACATCTGACAATACTGAAATCCCACATCTAGGCACATCTTTATTTTGGCACACAGTGCTCATTAGAGGCCTTATCTGGAGGTGCTGAAGAGATCCAGGCACTTGTACCATGATTCAAAGGTGGTTGGGACAGATAAAAATTTACCTAATCTCCCGTGGTAGGCAATGGGAATAGATGGTAGGTGTCTGTGGATTACTTCTGTTCTTATCCAATCACTACCTGATAGAAGATGCATACACAATTTTGGCAAAAGAGATTGGACCGAGACCTAACAAGGTTAGGAAGGTCCAGCCATAATGCTAATTACTAAGCCAGAGCAAATCTCCTTTTTCTTTGCTTGTTTGCCTTGAGAATCTGGATGCACACAACTCAGCCTCAAGAACACAAATTATATATAACTCTGAGTATGAGTCTGGCCTGGAACATGCTTCTGAAGCTGTAAGAAAGGCCTAAAACCTACTGATTTCAGCTTTAATCACAGAGGTATTGCGAGTAATATGCACAGGAGTATCAAACCACTTGTCCTCAGAGAGTCCTACAGCTTGCGCTGCTGCTAACACAGAGATCACAGGCATATCTATAAATATCAAAAAAGAAAGCAAGCCTCTTGAAACAGAAAGTTCAGCTCAGTGCTACTCACTTATCCTTTATTTCAAAACGTTCATGAAGCCACCTTCTCATATACATCTGCTCTTCTGGAATGTCCTTCAGTTCAATTCGATCAATGAAAATATGAACTCTTGGGCATTCCTTGCAAAGAAACTCTGAAAGAGAACAAGGTAACAGCACCGAGTTACAGAAACACTGTACAGCATTTATTCACCTAAAATATGCTGAAAGTCTGACCTCACAGCTGTTAAACGCCTCGAAAGGTTGGTTAACTTTGGTTTTCAAAGGCCTTCCCTATTTATGTTTGAATTCTGAGTGCCTCACTGAACTTAGCAGCCATCTGACCACATGCTGTTGTGAAGGGCTGGCTGTCAGGTGTGGCACGGAAGAACTGTTCTAAAAAGCACAGAAGGAAAACATCGCACTTGTACCTCAGCAGCAATCTGCTCACTCTGTATTGTTTGATGCTGTAGCTTCTCTGCAGGAAAGTTATCCAGCCTGCAATTTGGATCAAAGTTAGCAAAAGTTTTCTTCTTTTAGTAAAATCTAAGTCTTGTCTGCTCCTGGATGATGAAAAATAGCCCTACTGCAATTTCCCTTCCCCATTTCCTCAATTTTTCCCTGGAAAAATGTCGCAAGCAAGCATTAAGCCAGTTACTGATAAAACTCTATTATCCAAATGGCTTCGTGGAATATCTTACAAGCAATAAAAGGTTGAATACTGCATTTGGCATGAAAAATCCATCAGCATTTGTCTATTAATAAGCATATATCAGTAGCAACAGGGATTGCAGGAATGACAGCATCCCCATACAAAAAGATTAATGATGTGTGCATGGAAGAACTTGGAATTTTGGATAATTTTCATATTCTGAAAAGGGAGAAGTGCCTTTCTACTATAAAAATGGGCAACAAATCTAACACAGACTGGGTGGTCCCTGCAGGTTGTTGACATTCTTTTTGACAGTCATGTACATGTACAGAAGACTCTGACCCGTAATTGTTAGGGGTATCTCAAAGAATGCCTGTGCAAAATAATTGTCACTGCATGTACATCTTTATTATTGTCTGTCAAAGCAGATATTCCCCACATTTGCTTTCCTCTTTGGCAAGATTATTCTGTTTTTAAGGACATTATAATCCTTATCATATACTAGAAATTGCCTTAAGGAATTTTAAAAGCCTGTTCATACAAATGCATTTGTGCTTTTGCAAAGGGGGATGGAAGGAAGAGAGATAAAGGGATCAGTAAAGTCTTATGGCATGTTGATGCAGACTGTGTCTAGTCCTCATGCAGAGAGAGTCCTTCACTGTACAGACCTCAGCGCACAGAGAGCAACACAGTCTGCCATCAGCTCAAGGGTTGACCAAGGGCTCCAACCAGAAACAGATCCAGCTCCTAGCTGTGGCAAACACAACCAACACTAAATGTAGTTTTAGCAAAGCCATCTTTTAGCTACAGCTATTAGATGGCAGCAAGTGAAGGACTTGGAGGTCCAGAATGATGATATGTACACACAACTATCTTCAGGTTCACACATAATGTTTTTCCTAGCCACGATGCAAACAAGGTTCATGTATCCGAGAAGAGGTTTTCCTGCCTGCCTTTAATGGTCAGAAAGGATTTTCCAGATCCGATTCTCTGGGGATACTGTCCAAGGCACCATATGAAGGTCATTCACTGTACCAGCACCTAGAAGTACATTGTCAGTATTTTGAAAGGATGGACATATTGTCTGTATCTTAACTGCTTATAATGTCCCCTGATGTATAAATCCTCTTTTGGAAGGACATTACCTATTACGTGGGACATTCTAAAAATACGCAGATCTGCATTATACAAAACAAGAGCCTAGAAGCCAAATGGTATGTTGCTTTTTGCACTACTATAAAAAGCATCTCTGTCATGCATATTCAGCTCTGGCTGAAGGTCTAGGTTTAAAATATATTTCAGATGTTCTACGTGTTGTATGGTGAACATTTCTTTTTATTCATAGCACACAGGTTGTTCTGTATAGGAACTAATGGCTCCTTCCTGATGTTATTTATAATCTCAGTCATGAATGATTAAAGAAAATTACAAAAGTGAAATTCTAAGTTAGATGAAAGGATTGTTAATAGCCATGTGATAATTTTAAAGCTAACGTTATACTTCTTAAAAAGGACTGGTGTTTGATTATTTAAAGATAGCGGCAGAGCGCATTATCAAACTCAAGTTAACAAAAATGGAGTAAAATATTGATATTTCAAAAGGAATAATTTCCCCACTGAAGTCTGAAATGTAGCAGCACCATTAATCTGCTTTGAAATAACCCCCCCTCCAAAAATACTTAAGCCTTGCTGCTATTTCTTCTACACTACAGTTCCAATGCAAGCTGCTTCTTTCTACTCCCTGCATTGTCTTCTTCAGTCAGTCTACATTTTGTCCACAGAGGTGAAGAACATAAAACTTCCTCTTCCCACCTATGTAAATCCCAGTGCTCTTCTCCACAGCCTTGCAATTAAGTACAGCCTCGCTGAAGGCTGTGTGATCTGCATCTATAAGGGCTTCCCTCAGGAGGATCAATATTCCCACCCATTGACTCAAAGCCATTTTATCCAAAGCCTGGACATCCAGTACATCTGCAGATGACCTTGTAACACGTGCAATCAAGCTAATCAGGGAACCTGATTAGTCTTTAACTATCCAATCCATTTAATGGTCTAATGCAACTAATGTTGCTTCTTTTTTTTCTTTCTTTTTCTGTTTTTAAGGTGCATAATATCACTGCAATCACTTAAGAACACCAATGGATAAGAACGGTTTGCTGACAGGTTGTTTTTGAGAAGAAACAGCTGGATTTTATCAACACAGCCTCTAAAGGTTTGTGGTGGTCCCATGACCCTTAATTTCACATTTAGCTCAACTCCCCAAAGACTTATGTAATTAAGCTAAGAAACAAAATCTTATTGAAGCAATTTATTATGTGCAAATTACATCCAACTTCTGGGACATTAGCCCTTAAGGCCTGACAGGCTTTTCAGATCCCTAAATTTGCCAGAATTTGTTGTAATTAACAGCAGGAACAGGCAAGCCTGAGCTCTCCTTCAAAAGACAAAATATAAGTGCAAATCATGCATTATAATCAAGCATACCAGAGACAGTGTTAGTCAATCAAGGATCAAGCATGATTTGGCTTAAATGACCATCAACAACTTGTGTGGGGGCCAAGAGGACTGATTCTGATTTCTATCTGGTTAAATAATAGATACAAGTGCAGGATGTTTATAATGCCTTAAATGACCAATCACAGCAGAAGGAAAGAATTGAAAAGAATAAGTGGGACCTTACAGTTCTCTTCTTATACTGTGAATTGCCAACCCTCTCCCTACGGGACAGAATACATGCTAACCAAGGAATGAAGGATTCAATGCAGAATTAGAATTAATGAAAGGGATGCAATTACTTCCAGGATAGGGACCAGTTTCCCAGAGTCTTTAATTGCAACCAAAGATTTTGCACGCAGTCCAAAATCTTTGGCAAAGTTCTGTCAGTGTTCAGCTCCTCACATTCAAAAGTCAATTAATTCTATTTAAGTTAGCAGCACTACCAGGGAAAGTGAGGGAAGGAGAGAAGCTCCAAAACTTACACGTGCCTGATATTGAGTAGGGATATATAAATGGTTTTAGAACACTTTTCCCCTAATGATAGCATGGAAGTTTATCTCAGCACTCCAAATTCTTTGGCTTGCCCCTTAAGGAAGTTGTGGCAGTGACATTGTACTTAAACAGATATTCCAGTCTTCAATTACTAATGAGGTCTGGTTTTATATGCACTTGCAATATGACAGCAATAGGGTAGCTCAGATTCCAGCCTCCTACGTTGGCTCTTTAAGTGCTTCATCATTTCTGCCAAAGTCCTTCACAATTAAGAAAGGGGAACTGGAAGCCTGATATAGTCAAATGCACTTCAACAACCCCCAGTTGTTTCCTATTTTAATGGACTCCAGTAATGTTTGCAATAGGGTGAGAGTGGTATCACAGGAAACTGAGATCTGAATAATGTATTTTTATTCAAAAGAACTAATATTTAGAACACACAACAATGCATCCCCTTCAGTAACAAAACACTACGTGTTGTCCTGTGTACAGTTTGACAGGCAATCTCACGTCAGCAAATGTATATTCCTCTCTGAACTGTGGATGCTTTCTTTACTTCTTAGATTTCTATTAGAGTGGACTTAAATTGAGCTATCAAAGCAGTTTGTAAATGATCTCCTCCTCAAAAGAATGAAATCCTATCTCTCTGCTTTCATTTATTTTTGTACACCAAATTAACCACCAATTGGCAAAATAAACACAGATTTAAGCAATGCATTGTTTCTCAGCTCTGTGCTTTCCATCACCTCAAGTTGAGCTGCCAGGAAACTATTTCACTGCTTGCTCTGAAAAATAAAGTCGTGCTGGAGTGGAACAGCACTGGAAGGGAAAGCAAATCAAGGGCAGAGAGAGATCTGTTTCTCCAGGTTAGCCTATGAGAGACACAGTGCAGTAAGTGTGTCAGGAGCTGGAGGACCTTTAGATACAAGAAAAATGGGATTCCCCTGAATCCTAAGCCAGGGTGCTGGCAGTGAAAAGGCCTTAGGGAGTACTTCAGCTAGGAGTTGGGAGAAGGAAAAGGCCAGGAAAAGCAACCATTCAGGTTGACCAAACTTAGGAGGTGAACATGGCTAAAATTTAATGTGAGGACAAAACTCAAAAACCTCCACATCAAATAGGAAACCTTAACATGAAGACAAGAGAACAAGAATTTGACTGAATGGGAAATACAGGTGAGAGCACGGCAGCATATGCGAAGGATTTTATACAGCACAGTAGCATAGAGATAGTACAAGGAGACAGAAGCAAAAAAAAAATTTCCTGGTGTATCCTCTAAAAAATACATCCCAGATAGATAAATTAGATGGTGTCAACATTGCCTTATTAACAAGATTATAAGCCTGATGACAGTGGTGAGAGTGTTAAGCCAGACTGAGAGCTGCAATTACAGGAGCCTGAGATTCCAGCTATTCCTTTACTGAGCCACTCCAATGCTTCATCAAGATGAGGTGCAGAGGAGGAAAGAGCAAATGGCTTCCTGGAACAACTATTTGCAGAACCCACAAGGAAAGATGCC